TCTCTCTCTCTCTCTCTCTCTCTCTCTCTCTCTCTCTCTCTCTCTCTCCACCTGCGCTTTTAGAGCAACTGATTTTCGAGTTTTCGAAATATGGTGTATATGTGTATATCGACGCCCCAAACGAAGAAAAGCTTAGCTCACATTTCTCAATTTAAAATAATCAGCTAAGCTTTTATTCGTTTGCGGCGTCGATATAATTATACCCCTATACCGACATCCCGATTCTGCATCACCATCGCCACTGTACAACCTTATACTGCTATATGTACGCTGTTGCCGACGACGACAATCAATTTTGATGAAATTTTTTTCATTCAAGGGACACCTATACCTATCCCATGTCATTGCGCTCAGTATTAAAAAAAAAAAAAAAAAAAAAAAAGATGCTATGAGAGGAAATTGTAAGCAGAGTAAAAAAGAATATTGTATATACATTCATTGAATGAAAAAAAAAACTGCGCGCGCTCCGACTCCTTTCTTTTTAATTCCACGTGTGCGTGTTATAGAGATTTTACCGCTCAGCCTGCGTAATTGATCTACATTACCATTTTACAAGAGTAGCGCACTATCATTACGCACGCGCATTGCATAATTTTTTTTTCTTTTTCTTCCCTGATTATGAAACTTGGTTGTGTTCCACGATACCATAGTGTATTTTACGGAGTCACGTGTGCGTTGTGTCGAATCTGCAGACTAACTTATTGAAACCCTTAAAATTGTGGCAACTCTGCTGTGATTACGCGTATTTTGAACTGGGGTCGAAAGCTGCCGTTCGCAGGTTCAAAATTACGCTCTGAAAGCTCAGTTAGTACACACGGTTCGAAACGACTTTTTCAAACACAGGAATATAGTTACATATATGTACATATGTAAATACACGCGCGAGAGAGCATTCATTATTCAGCAAAAGGCTATGCCTACCTACGTTTCCTTCCTTTCTCTTTAAAACTTTTGTAAATAAATAATGCTTGTATACTTTATTAATATAGTAACGGAGATATGTCATCGTAATTTGAACTTTCCAGTGTATAATAATCTACGATAATCCAACTTTAAATTATCTAACAATTTAAATGAATGTATAGATATCGGGAACTTATAACGCGAGACGAAAATGAATAGCACGGCATTTGAGATAAAAATGAAGGAGGCAGGTAATGTTAATATTCCGAAGGAATGTCAACTAGTATGTGGGCGAGCATACATAACTGAAATTCCTTCTTTTCTAGGTGATAGACAATAGTTGTACTGTACACACACAATACAACTATTGAGTTTAAAGTCTTATCGTGTCTGATAATAGCTGGTAAGCTACATTTCATATTTTTCCCCTTCAAGGCTAAACGATTTTCAATTTATTTGGTTCAGTCTAGATTTTTTTAGAAGATTGCGCTATAAAAAAAAAACTTATGTAAACATTGCATTTGAAACTTATATGAAGAACATTATTCTCGGAAAAATAAAAAAATGAAACGAGACGAGACAAAATTTTCTTGAAGCAAAAATGTTTTATTGCCGAAGTTACAAAAAACACTGATGTGCGCGCGCACATGAAAATAATTTGTTTTGCAACGACAGACGTCAATCATTATATATAGGCACAGCAGAACACATATGTACCTGATAGCAATAAACGTTCGATTTACAGGTTTCGTGCCATGTTTTTTACACATAAAAATAAAAAATGAAAAAAAAATCAGGGTTACAATCTTTTATTCTTTTTCGAGATAATGAACGATTCTGAAGAAAATGAAGATGGTTTATACAACAATAACTCGAATCAACGTGTATGTAGGCATGTTTTTTGCACTACGAACATACCCGGACTCACCTCGTGTAAGTATCGGCTCTGTCTCCTATACCACTACGAGTCTCCCCAGATATAGGTGTCCCTCTTGCTTCTTTTTTTTTTCCTCACGACTTCACGTACCCATGTGTACGTTTGCAGCACAGGGGGAAGAAGCAGCCGGGAACGGAAGAAAAAACGAACAGAAAAGAAAAAAAACGAAACAACAGAGCCACAGGCACCAAACGGAGATAAACACTAGCGGAGGCTCGGGAGAAACCAGCCCTGCAGCACCCACTCGCGACACCGAAGACACCAGACGACGTCGACAACTTCTTCGGTAATCAACGGCGCAACACCTTACAGTTTCATCAAATGATAAGAGGAAACTGTTTGACTCGCGCACCACCTCACACACTTGTTCCTTAGCGCCTCTCTTCTCTAGAGACACATACACACACACGCACGCTTACTTGCCTACCCCCGGGGCTGGGCCTCTTTGTCAGTTTTGACTCCTCTTCTAGATGGAGCACAAAATACTCTCCTATACCTATAATATGTTAAGAGACGAAGGCAAGGCGAGCGAACCCTCGGTAGCACATGTTCGTGCAAAGTATGCTGCTCGTATGGGTGCGAAAAATCCACGATTTACGCACCTGCGACAAGTGTATGTACTTCGAGCGAACGTGTATACCAAATACCAGAAGAAGAGCTCTACGTTGAGATACTCGCGGGCTGGTGTCCCCTGCACAACTACTGACAGTACCGACACCGACTAGGTATAACTGGGCTCCGTTCCGTTTCCCTCTTTGCTCCAGCTCTACTACGCTTACTCACGTCTCACTCTCTCTCTCTCTTTCTCTGTCTCTCTCCCGCAGCTCCTTGACTTGACTGCTTCACTGCTAAAACTTCTTGCTGAATGATCTCGTGCTGCTGCACACAGTGCACACTATGTCAGTATAGAGTAATATAGGTACTAAGAGTATGTGTCTCCGATTCCGATATAGGTAGTCCATGCAGCGGATGACGACTATTCTACAAATGCTGCCAGCAAAAGCAGTTGAGTTACGTAGGTCGTGTACGAGGTAACACCGCATGGTCGGGCGGCGCTAGCGTCAACCTGTACTAACTGTCAAACTGTCGGTGGGTTCCGCATGTCAACAAACTTCGATATTTTTTGCTAATCACTTCCATGCCACCCGATATTTCGGAGTCAACTTGACATGCGAAACCCATCGAGTAGGTACAGGTTGACGCTAGCACTGCCCAAACATGCAGCGTTACCACAAGCTATTCGCTCCGAGCCGATGCAAAGGTTGCGCCCCCTCTAGCCAAAATCAGGCAACATTTCTTGCATATAAACAAACGGTTTAGAACATATATACATACGTACAGCTGCTTGTGATTGGCACTTGGCAAGCTAGAGAGAGAACGACGATCCTCTCCTGCTGTCTTATTCAGCCAATCACAAGCAGCTATACGCATGTATATATGTTCTAAACCGTTTGTTTACATGCAAGAAATGTTGCCTGATTTTGGCTAGAGGGGGCGCAACCTCTGTATCGGCTCGGAGCGAATA